AACTTTCTGCAAATAAATGTCACTGGATGATACTAACTTCCGTTTTATGACAAGAGGAGAAAAACTTCCCTCTATCAATTCTCTTCACGCTGTTCATAAATCTATAAACTTCTATCATGTTTCCCCTGACATATCTGGTGTTACATTCTTCTGACTTTCCAAAATTGGGAGAGACAGTTCAATATTTGGCCGATCATTTTAGAATGCCTAAATGAGACCCATTGTAAAGAAAATTCTCCATAAAGTGTTTATTGGACTGTCCAAGCAGCATTGGGCGGCGGGAGGGGGGGTTGTGGCTCAGTGGCAGAGCATCTGCTTCGCATGAAGGTTTAATTCTCGGTGTTTCTAGTTAAAAGGAGCAAGTAAGACTTAGGTAATGTGAAAGACCCCCTAGGGACCCTGGAGAGCCACAGCCGGTCAGAGTAGACAAGAGTGACCTTAATACATCAATATCGGGCAGCTTCATGTGTGCTCTTAAAAAATCCCCCCCCCATTTATTCAAGGATTCATTTGTTGCTTTTTGATCAATTAATCACTGTAAGTCTTTTATTTATATAAAAATGGTTTTATAAAAAAATGCTGCTCTGTGGCACTGGAGTCTTACTGATCGGTTTAGCTCTTGATGATAATCTGTCTGAAAAAGATTTATTGCCATATTTCTTTTTTTGGTCTTAAGATAAGTTTAAGTTCAGAACAATAAGAAGTGTAATACAATGTGAAATGACTGCAAATTAGAATTAGACAGAAAAACCAGCAAAAACCAGGTTTTGATCTAACAGATCTCTTCCACTAAGTGAGGACTGGAGGGAAGGCAACATAGTGTATCGTGATCTTGCCAGATACTGGAAGCTAAGCAGAGTTGGTACTTGGATGAGAGACCACCAAGGAAGACTCTGCAGAGGAAGACAATGGCAAATAACCTCTGTTTCTTGCTTGCCTTGAAAAGCTCTTGTTTGGGGTCACCATAAGTCAGCTGAGACTTGATAACACTTACATAGATGATGGGTTGCCAGCTCCAGGTCAGGAAATACCTGGAGATTTTTGGGGGGGATGAATCCTGAGAAGGGCAGGGTTTGGGGAGGGGAGGGACTTCAGTGGAGTATAGTGGCTTCATAGAGTCCATCTTCCAAAGGGGCTGCTTTCTCCAAGTGAACTGATCTCTCAGGAGCTCTCCAGCCACCACCTGGAGGTTGGCAGCTATAGCATGATGAGTCTTCCTCCAGCGGGACACACCTTTGTCTACTTATCAAGTCTTCTTGCTAAGCTATAGGCAGGGGTCATTTCGTAGAAAAAAAGCTAGGGGAACTCATTAGCATAACTCATTAGCATATGCCACACACCCTGACATCACCGGAAGTGTGTCATAAGGCCACACACCCCGCCCCCAACGGTCTCGGCCGCCGCCACCGGCCTTGCAGCTCCACTGCTTAGCCCCATGAGGGGCCCGGCGGTGGACCAGCAAGGCCGGCAGGAGTGCAAGGAAGCCCCGCGAAGGCCCTCCCTGGCCCCAGGCAGGCAGGGGTGGGGAGAGGCAGGGAGGAAGCAACTTACCCTCCTCCCTCTTCTCCTGCCTCCTCCTGGCTGAATGAGGGCCGGAAGCAGGGGGCGGGGTTTCGTCCCCCCGTACCTCACCCGGGGGGGTGCCCCGCCCCCCGTACCTCACCCGGGTGGGACTGCGTTCCCCCCCCCCGAAAGGACCTCTGGCTATAGGACTCATTGGTTCTTCCAACCCAGTATCCAATGATATTAATCATTCTTTTTTGTTTTCATTTTTGTTTTGTTTTGTGTGTGCTTGCAAGCTTGGAAGACATGGCGGCTTCTGGCAACCCCTACTGGGGGCTTGGATGTTTTTCAGAGAGGTGGCTTGATTAGCCTGCCTCTGCATCTCCCACCTCAGGTATTCCTTGGTGATCTCCCTTCGAATTACTTGCCAGGGCCTATGCTGCTTAGCTTCCAAGATATGACGAGATCGGACTTGCCTGGACTATCCAGGTCAGGGTGATATTAGTCGTTCTTAATGACAGGTGAAATAAACATAATTTTAAAAATCAAATCAAATACATTGGTCAAAGAGAGCCATGTTCCTTATATTAAAGGGAAAAAGGGATGGGTGGGGCTCAGTGGTAGAACATTTACTTGGCATGCAGAAAGTCCCCGGTTCAATTACTGGCATCTCCAGTTTAAAGGATCAGGTAGCAGGTGATGTGAAAGACCTCTGGAAGGTCCAGAAGAACTGCTGCCAGTGAGAGTAGACAGGACTGATCTGGACAGACCAAGGGTTTGATTATGTGTTCATGTGAAATAAGGCTCAATTCTAAACTTGTTGGCAGAGTTTAAGTATGCATAGGAAGTGGAGCACTGCATGTTTAGAGAAAAATAAGTAGGATTATTAAAGAAGAACATACTGTTATAGAACATAGAAAAGAGAGAGCCTTAATTATCTAACTTAACTGTTGTGAGAGCCACAAGACGAAGGAAGCTCTGCAGCAGCAGGAAGTCTTCAGAAAAGCCAATCAGGAGACAGGAAGGACATAATTTGGAATTGTGGGCAGTCCCTAATCTAGCTAGGCTAACTACCAGTCCTTCATCTGTCCCCCTGTAGGGTGATCTTCAGATCTTCTAAAGAAGGCTGCACTATAGTTCTTGTACATTCCAAAAAAATTAGAGGTGAAGTGCTGCAAAAATGTCCTTGTGCTTGGGGCACTTTTCCAATGAGGAAAGCATTTGGAGCATTTTTAATTGAGGGGGGAAAAAAAGAACATAAGAGAAGCCAATGTTGGATCAGGCCAATGGCCAATCCAGTCCAACACTTTGTCACACAGTGGTCAAAAATACCAGGTGCCATCAGGAGGTCCACAGTGGGGCCAGGACACTAGAAGCCCCCCCACCCCGCACCAAGGTATTATAAACTTTGCAAGGTTTCAGGAAAGTGAACAGAAAAAAAGGTTTTCCTCCTCTCTCATAAACTTTGAATTTAGGGTGAGGTCATCCAATGAAACCGGGTGGCAGGACAGACAAGAGACGGAAAACAACTTTTTACATGAGGCAGAATTATCTTATGGCTCCCACTGCCAAATGATGTGCCGATGACCACTGGCTCTAAAGAGAGACTGAGAGAAAATTATGGAATAGAAAATTATCAAGGACTATTCGTGAACACTGATAAGTTGAACCTTCAGGTTTAGGGGCAGTATACAGCTGAATAATCATTGCTGAGCAGGGCAAACAGTGAAGCAGAACTATTGCCTTTGTGCCTTGCTGTGGTTTTCTGGTGGCACATGGCTGGCGGCTGTTGGGGTACAGGTTGGTGTTCTGATCTGGCTGAGCTTGTTTACATGCACAGGTTCTACAGAAATCTAATACACACACTAATGCAACTGTCACATTCTAAAACAAGCCTGACAGAAACCAAAATATTATGTTACATTCCCCAAACAATTATTTGCAGTAGCAACAGCATCTGTTCTATAGTTTGTGATCTTTAGTTACCTCCTGCCATTTAAGAGGGATGACAGACCAAAGGATGAATTTCACAGGTTATTATCTCCCATTTCTGGCTTCTAGTAAAACAGAATGACATTTTGTAAGATACTCTTTGCATCTTCCTCTTAACTGCCTCCAGAGATTTTGAAATTACTGAACCTTTCTTAATATCATTTCTTATGGGTGGTACCCCCCCTCCCCTGACTCCTGTAGTTAACAACTGCCCAATAGGAAGAAAGTTAACAGGTAAGTGTTCCTCAAGCAGTCCCACAAAGCCTGTACGTGCTTTATTTTCTGTCTGCCAGGCAGCTGTTAATGGCATGGGAACTCTGCTAAGAAAGAAATGCCCCCAACTACTCCTGATAGGATTCATAACATTCCTCCGTTAACCACTCATTGTAACGTATTGGGCTGGAGATTTGTAAGAGAAAGGGTTGCCAACACCAGCCTGAGACATTCCTGGAGATTTGGAGACAGTGCCTATGAGGGAATCTGGGGAGGGATTTCACCTAGAATCCAGGGTACATCATACAATTTGCCTTCAGAAATTGCCATTTTCCTGAGGTTTAGGGTAGAGTTTGTGCAGGGTGGGTTGGGGGAGGAGGGGAGTCTCTACAGGGAGTAATGCCATAAAGCCCACCCTACATTTTCTTCAGGGGAACTAATGTCTGTAGTCTGGATATCAGTTGACTCAGGAGGGTTGCCAGCTCTGGGTTGGGAAATACTTGGAGATTTTGGAGGTGGAGCCTGTGGAGGGTGGGGTTTGGGGAGGGACCTCAGCAGGGTATAATGTGATACAGTCCACCTTCCAAAGTAGCTATTTTCTCCAGGGAAACTGATCTCTATAATCTGGAGACTAGTGTCTTTCTGGGAGATCTCCAGTCACCACCTGAAGGCTGTATCAATATAAAGACACTCCGTGAATGTCTTTCTATTGATACAATCTCCTCCCCTGAGCTCTCATTTTGATATACAACCACCTGGAGGTTGGCAGCCCTACAAATCCCAGGAGATCTCCATGCCTCAACTGGAGGCTGGCAACACTGGGGATTCGAACCATGGTCTCCTTAATCACTATATCACTATATCTATTAATTAAATTACATTGGCTAATGGCTGTCCCCAGGTCCCACCTGGAGGCTGGCATGGTGCTTAGGTCAAAAGAATGAAATTGCTTTTTGCAGGATTATATTTCTTGAGGCTGTTTGCAGCTCTCTCCACGCTCCATTCGGAGCCAGTACCACTGAATAAAGTGAGGTTTACTTCTGAGTTTGCTCGTTTAGGCATAAAATATGTGTGGTGGGGAAGCGGGGGGGGGGGGGGGGGAGGAAATGGCACAGGCAACAGCTGAGCAATACTGGGTGCCTCAGGAACACTACATTTCCCGAGCCGCTTTGCGCCGAAGAGTGCGCTACGATTGGCTATCGACAGAGTCCAATCAGCAAGGCGGGAGGTGGCGTGGATAACGGCGTTTGCAGGTACTGTGGAAGAGGCTGGTTGGGCGCCGCTTGGAAGCCATGGCATCATCACGGCGGCTTGTGCTGCACCTGCCTGCGGGGAGCTGCCTTCTCTTCCTCCTCCTCTTCCTTTGTGTCGAGTTCGGGGGAGGCCAAAAGAAGAAGGAGGTAGAGTCGTTCTCTCTCCCCCCCCACCCCCACCCCCGCCGCCTCCTCCTCCCACCCATTTCTTTCCTCCACGATGCTCAGTCCTCCTTTCTGATCCCTCCCCGGCTCTTATCAGTTCGTCTCGTCTTGCTTGTGATCGGCTGTTGTGCGTAAATATATATCAGTCCCCTTTGTATTAGCATTTAAATTGAGATTTTTTTTTTTTAAAAAGGGAACCTTTAAAAATTAAATTGACACCTACACACAAAGCCCCCCACAGGTTCCTATTGGGTTTCCTTAATAGGAGCGCTGCACTCCCCTCCTCCTTGCTCATTGTCTGTTGTAGTTGAGCATATGGCAAGCAGGAGTTCGAGGTTTCTGACCAGAAGTGTACAAGAAAAGCAAGACGTGTGTGTGCACTCTGCAACATGTTACTACCCAGAGAGAATATTTTGAATGAATTGTGTCCACCTCACACATATATGTTAGATTGCACATGGGCTGAGCCCCAAAGCCAGTTTTTTTTATTATTGTGAATATACATATGTTTAAAGACATTTCTAGCTTGTGTAAGCAAAATCAATTGTGTCTGCGGCACACACAACGGGGTAACACATAAGACAATGCCTCTGAGCTCGTGAAGACTGCCTCTTTTGGTGTAATTGCAACAAGATTGCCCATATTGTGAAATGGAAGATTTCTGGGTCACAAAGTGTAATTTGAATTATTCCTGTTAACTCATTCTTCCCCCATCTTGTCACTTCCCCAAATTCCAGTGTTTTATGCCCTTTTGGGGCACTTCTGCATCATTTACATAGTTCTGTATGATCTCTGTATGATGGAGAGCTAGTTTGGTGTAGTGGTTAAGTGTGTGGACTCTAATCTGGGAGAACTGGGTTTGATTCCCCACTCCTCCATTTGCACCTGCTGATGTGACCTTGGGTCATTCACAAGCTCTGGCACAGCTGTCCTTGAAAAAGAGCAGTTTGGGTCAGAGCTCTCTCAGCCCCACCCACCTCACAGGGTGTCTGTTGTGGGGAGGGGGAGGGAAAGGAGTTTGTAAGCCGCTCTGAGACTCCAAGTGAAGGGCGGGGTATAAATCCAATCTCTTCTTCTTCTGTATTCGTTGCACAGAATATATACGGCTCTGCCGTCCCTTCTATGTTAACCATAATAAAGATCTTCCTTTGGTTCTGCACTAACATTTGCTACCATGAATTAGTAACACTGTTTTATAAGTAGGCATTGGGAGGATGGACAAGGAGCTTCTGAGTTATATTTAGTAAGGTGAGTAATCTCTGAAAACCCTTTAACTCTTCCTGAGGTTTCAGGAGGGCTTGTTTAGTGGCTAGGGTAGAAAGTAACTTCATTAAGAGCATTTCTAGTTCACACTTAGGCAGCATTGCACCCTTGTATGTCTCTTGACTTTAGTGGACTCAGGAGGATGTAACTCCACTTAGGGTTGCACCGATAGCCAGTGAGTGAATCCTAATGTGGCTGATTAACTGTGGACATTATGCAATATTGATAGACATGCTAGGGTTTTTCATCACATATGCTCAGTTTAGAAAATATAAGGTTCAGTGTAGAAAATGTGTGATTCTCTTAGTCTGCTTTCTGATTTGTGAGCCCCTATCAGTAACTGAATCTTGCCTTGCTGTATCACATGGCTTGTGGTCCTAGAAAGTGGAAATGTGATTTAAATGTGAACAAAATGTTGCCATTTAAGATTATGACAAATACTGTAATTACTGGTCTTGGTAGTGATGATTAGAAAAAAATACCAAACAGTCCCGATGCTTATTTGCTGCCTGCATTAATGGCTACAAATGCATGCAGGTGACTTATTAATGCATGGAAACCAAATCTGCAATACTTTTAGCCCTCATTTTAGCAAAATCCTGCAGTCTTTCTGTTATTGTCATTTACAAAGGGCAGTCAATGTTCATGGTACTTTACATTGACAGATGCCTGCTCTGGAGAGCTTACAACCTAAAACTGATGTAAGGAAGGTGACATAAAGGAGGAAAGTGGAGACAGGGTAAATGGGGAAGAATGTGCCTTCGTTTCCGTAACATGCTTAGTTTTGGTGAAGGAAGGAGGCTGTGCCAAAGAAGAAGAGATTGGATTTATACCCCGCTCTTCATTTGGAGTCTCAGAGCAGCTTACAAACTCCTTTCCCTTCCCCTCCCCACAACAGACACCCTGTGAGGTGGGTGGGGCTGAGAGCTTGTGACTGACCCAAGGTCACATCAGCAGGTGCAAGTGGAGGAGTGGGGAATCAAACCCGGTCCTCCCAGATTAGAGTCCGAACACTTAACCACTACACCAAACTGGCTCTCAAGCAAAAAAGCAGGTGTTGAAGGAACTGAGTGGGTGACATCCCTCAGGGGTGTTTTATGAAGCAATTTCAAGCAGAAGGGGACAGAAAGGGAGAAAGTGCAGCGTCTGAGGGGACGAGGAAGCCTTTTGGTAGCTGAGGGTGGTTCCATGGAAGAGGGCAAGCGTGTATCAGGCTGTGAGAGGAGAGAGCTGATGGGGGTGGGTGGGTAGGGCCATGACGTGCTTTAATGGAGAGGAATTCATGTTAGTTTATTTTAGGAAATGTCTATACTGCATCCTCACAGAACATATTGAAGGCGGTTTACAAAATAAAACAAAATAAAAAACAGTACAAGTTAACAATTAAAAAATCCTGCCAGGGCATAAAAACAGCACTAAATGTGGAACAGTTTTAAAAAAGTCTCCTCAAATAGCTAAAGAGAGACTAAAAAATAACGTTAAAAGATAAAGCTCTTAATTATAAGCCTGGGTGAAATAAAATATGGAGCAGAGGTCCATCAGTGGCTATTAGCCACAAGGTATAGATAGGAACTCTCAGTCTGGGGCAACGGATGCTCTGTATTGGGGGGGGGGTTGGGGGGCAGAATTGGGAGGGCTCCTAGTGTCCTGGCCCCACTGGTGGACCTCCTGATGGCACCTGGTATTTTTGGCCACTGTGTGACAGAGTGTTGGACTGGATGGGCCATTGACCTGATCCAACATTGGCTTCTCTTATGTTCTTATGTAAAACGTTTTGGCCTGGCAGCTGAAAGAGAGTTGGGGAAGTGCCAGAAAAGCCTGATAGGAAAGGACATTCTGGAGGTGAGATGCTACTGTGTGTGTGAGTGGGGACAAACACCTCTTAAGGTGGGGGCACCGAGAGCAGGACTTGTGAAGATGATCTTAGCTTTGGTTCCTGTACAGGAGAAGAAGCTGGTGAGGGATTTAAGGAATCTGACACTGGTAAGAGGATGAGTGAGCTGAATGACTCGTAGAAGAAAGCAGGATAGAGAGGACGGGATTAGAAATGTGAAGTCATAGAAACCTTGATTCCCCAGTTTTTTGCATGGAAAAGATTGGGAAATTTTAGGGAGCACGAGAAACAAAAAAAACCCCAACCCTGTGAACTGGTGTTCTTTTTTGTAATGAGTGAAATTTTTTCTAAGCTGATGTTTCTCTCTCTCAAAATGTATAGCTCTATCCACTGTTTTCCAGATGGAAAATTAAGAAGTGCTGGGGATCATTGGGGGAAAAAACCCCACTCCTTTTTATTTTGGAATGGGTTAAGTGAAAGACAAAGTTTAACTCAAAAATGAGTAGTTTGAACATTTCTATGTAGCACAGTCTACAGCATTAGGTGATGATTACATTTATTTCATTCATACCTGCCTCTCTCCCCAATGTGGACCGAAAGCAGCTTACATCATTCTGCTCTGCTTCATTTTATCTTCACAACAGCAGTAACGTGAGCTGGGCTAGGCTGCGTGTGGGACTGGCCCAAGGTCACCCAGTGAGTTTCCATGGCAGAGTGGGGATTCGAACCTGGGTCTCCAAGATCCTAGTCCGTCATGCCAACCACATAAATCCTGTGTATAATGTAGGCATATACAGCATATTTTCAAGTATACATTTTTGTTTAAATGTAAATAATTTGGTAGCAACTCATATGCTTTGTGTTTCGTTTTAATACATTAAATTCCAGTCTTTTAATGTTATGTTTAATTTGATATTAACAGTCCTACATATTGTGACAGTATGAGAGTGCTTCTTTCCAATTAACATGCTTTCTTTTCTGTACTACAGAATTTATTTTCTGCCTTCGAGTTTAATTTTTCCTATTTTGCAGATGGCAAGAAATAAGATATGTGTGTCATGGTAGTACAAGATGAAGCATTTTGCAACTTACTTTCAATAATTGGGTCTATTTGAAAATTTTCTTACAAAAAGAACCCTTCATACTTTAAATTCTTCCATAAATGCATCAAATAGTCGGATTTGATATGCTAGCTAAGTTATCAATGATGCATTTTGTATTGTCAGATCGCCAAAGCAAGTTTAGGTTTGATGGGAAAGCAAGTATTGCATAGTGAACCAGAGCTATGGTTTTTGCAGTGGTGTAAAGTGTATAGCTACATGACTTGGGTGGCAGCTTAAATACAGAGATCAAATAGGAGAAGAACCCAAAAAGAACATCAAGATTTTCCCTGATCTTCAGTTGTCAGTGGGCATGGCATGTGTGTGAGAAGAGGAAGGCTTGGGAAGAAAAGTATAAAGATCTACCTTGGACATGTTGCATTTGAGCTAGGGAGCTTGAGACATCCAATGGGAAATAGGGAAGTTGACATATAGAGAGTTGGATGCGTTGGTCTTTCTGTATGAGATGATGTCATTCTCCATTAGTGTCCCTTGGAGTGGGGAAGTACCACTATTGATGCCAGTACCTTTGCCAATGTCATCCTGGGACTGAAAATAAGAAAGTACTGGAATTTCCTGATACAACCCATGAAACGGCTAATAGGAGTGAGGAAATCTCTGACAAATCACCATTGCTCAGAAAGCACAGAATAAAAACTGTAGGATGGATTTCCAAGAGGCAGTAGTGAGGGAAGCGGGCCTCCAATTTAAATCCAGAAAAAATGGGCTCCAGTTATCCGAAGTTTGAGAAACACTGTTTTGCCCTGGGAAGTGGAACGTTATCC